CAGCCTTTGCCATTTTGGCCCATTCGTGGTTTCGTTTTCGGTATTTCCTTTTGAATTCCAGAATTTATTTCCAGAGTTATTTGGTAGGCTAAACACACTGAGTTGGTACACTGCTATGCTTAATGAATGGAATGTACTGCACATACCTAACAGAGTTATAGGCGCATAACGTTTTATCTCTTATTTTATAGCTATCTAAAATTCGTTTTCGCCCACACTTCATTCTGATCGAAACACAAGAAATGCCTCACTCGTACAAACTTTGATCAGCTGTTATTAATCAGCTGTTTATATATTCGTCCAGTGTAGTTTGAAAACCCTGTATTGATATCACCAAGATGACAAGACGGTGAATTTGAATGATTCAATCGCTCCAAGAAAAAAGGAATAAATACGGACATAGGTCAGTATTGCATAAGTTGTCCAAGTCAATGCAGATATCCTTGGTCTGTAAACTTTTCTGGTTTCAAAGTATTTTTGATTTATTCAGATGAGAAAATCAAAAAGTCTGCTGAGAGTTAACGCGAGTTTGACAAAAAAAACTTTGCTGGGCTGGCATTCCTGCCTCTTTTGCTTCTGCTGAGCCTGATTAAACCGAACTGATTGTCCAGATATCCTCTTTTTTCTGATGTGTGGTCTTCGTGTTCACATCGGGATGATCCAGTAGAGCACCGTTCGAATGAAGAACCACACTCGGCGGTACATTCTTGTTACAGCATGGTTGTTTATGCTGGTTAAGTATTGACAAATCCGTCGGCTATTCTCCCTGCAATCCGCCCTGGTCCAGTATGTGTCATTATCAGCTAGCACAAAGCGTAACAATATTTTAAAAACCGACTTTGCTTTAGCTTCGACATGATTAGTCAAAACGTATCTGTTGTCAATCCGATACTGAAGAGACGATTATTAGTGAAGCGCAAAGTACACTAGACACTGGGAAACATCCTGTGCAATTCGCTTTCGTAGTTAATCCATCGGCTTAGATCTAATGGATGCGTGTTTCAGATGGTTGGAGAAGCGCCTTCGTTTACGACTACTCAAGCGGGATGTGAAACGCCAGGAGAAGGCGAATCGTCGTGTGAGTCAGGTGAATGGCTTCAGAATTAAGCAGTTATTGTAAAAATCGTAAAAATGGCAAGTGTCAACGATTGTGGTGGGTAAAGGAAATTGAGTCGGCATGACAGCTGATTGCGAATCGCGGACATTCATATTGTAGGCGGTGTTGCCCACAACCAATTATCCTCGCATACTATTGTCTGCCTAATTCCTTAACAAGTTTAGTTCTTGCAGAGTTGAGAAGCAAAATATGACCTGAATAGATTCAATTTTCTGTCAACAACTTAAAGCAGTGGGGAGACGGAGCTTTCACTTACCGCTGCGTGTTTTCGAAGCTACTGAATACATTTTGAAAGGGTTCAATGGCTCGAACTGCTGAGTAAATCTTTTTTTACAACATTTATTTCTACACGAAATTTCAATGAAAACGAAGTTGTTTTGTTCTAGTTCTTGTTTATCTTTCTTTGCGTGCTTCATTAATTGCACGCTACCCGAGGCGTCATCCTGCCATATTTCATGTGGAGGGACAATTATAAATACGATGCTGACAAGAAAGATGATGGGTTTTAGGGATATTAGTCCTTCGCATTGTTGTTCGGTTCGGTACGTTAACACAAACATCTGATTGATATTGTTACCTTGCAAAACTCATATCGTAGTGAAATCCAATAATGTTGGGCTTGCTGAAATCGGAATAAGATGTAGAGCGTCGATCGTCGCCAAGAATCTTTGAAAACGGAATTCAACGTCCTGCCCACGGTTTCGCTAGTGTCCACCAGCAAAGTTTTGGCAAATACGTTCACCATTTTTCCTGATAGAGATTTTTGTAAATTCGTGCGTTTCATTAGTTATTTCAAGCCTTTTTCTGAAGAAATTGACACTGCTTGAAGCGTGAAGCGAAGACGAAAACGTCGAAACGAATGAAAGCAATTCATCAACTTCGTGAAAGCTCAACAATTAATACAGATGTTGATTATGTTACAATCGAGGTTAAATGACGGTCGGTTTAGAAATTACTGCTTGGAGCATCTCATTCACGAAAAACTTTACATGGTATGGGTCTCTTTGATTCTTCTAACTTCTTTTTCTTCAGCTCCTCGATACCGTTAGATGCGTTGCATCTCTGATAGGTAGAGGAGTCAAGATAGTTCAACGTTTATCATAAATGATGCCGGTTACATGTGAAGTCATTCGTTTGCATTTCTTTTCATTTCATTAGGTTAGCATCTTTTGCAGCCATTTCTAATACACCGATTTTTTTAAATTTTATTTCATGCGACCCATCTTCATGTGTACTCTGCAGATCCTAGCATTTCTCACATTCGATTCGTTTCCTCAAATCCATCATCCACGAAGGTCTTCCAACTTTTTACGTGCGTCTTCGGGTGCTGCTTGAGCATTCTCATTTTATTTTGAATGTCGTAGAATGATGGTTGAGTCGACTGCCCCTGGACTCCATAGGTAGCCGGGCCAGAGCGTTTCTAATTGGATTGCAGAGAGCGATTTTTTCCCGGACAAGTCCGGTAGCAATCTTTTCCTAGAGAAGTTTGGTACCAGTTTTTCACCACCGAAGAGATGAGAGGCTTGGTGAGCCTGAGGTGGGATCGAACCAGTAACGTGCTCAGTATGACTGGCACCACCACCACTATGCTACCCGTCTACATCCAATGTTGTACATATATGTACAACTTACGTGCTACTTTTGAACAGGTATATATGTATTGTTTACGACCACAATCATTAAAATCATTCGTTTTAGACCAGCCAGCAGTCACAACCTCAGGTAAACAAACTAGTGGAAGGCGATTTTGCGCAACATCGTCCCAATGACTGCAGTCCATTGATGACAAAGGAGTAGTGGCGACGGTCGCTGAGTTCGCTTACGAAAAACAAAGTTTTTCCAGCTCTAAGGAAGTGTATTCACTTTCGTAAGGGTATATGGAAAAGTGTAATCGCTATAAAGAACTTATACACTCACAATTCCCTGAGCCACGTTTTTGAATAAACGAAACTTCTCGCAAGTTTTTCATAGACGAATTGCAATTGTTCTTTGTGTAAAATAAGTGGCGTCCAACGCTGTAGCTACCCTGACATCAGTGAGTACATTTTATTACTCATAATAAGGCAGGTTTAAATGTTGGGTCCATGTGTAGAGTTTGGATTGCTGTGGAGGGAAACCGATCGCCGCAGCGATAATTGACCCATCACCAGTTGTTATTTCCTAGTTAACCTACTACCATTTAGTACTTCTTCGTTAAACTTATGTGTTTCTTTCGCACGAAATCGACAAATGTTACGTGTGACAAATTCCAGTCGTAACCTTTAAAGGAGCATGACGTTGATCCGTCTGGTACAAGTTGGTTCGCACTGATGTGTCGCATCATCTTAGCCTATGTCTATGACCAGAGGGCTCACGCTGTACAGTTTTCTTCTCCAATGTGATATTGAAAATGTGCTAACGATGAATGATCTCTGCGTTGATCTTTGTTTTATTGTTTTTGGTTGGTTTGTTCATGGATGTCCTTCGTGTTGAACATGAAATGAGATAAAAATTATATCAACGTTGGTATTTAGCCTCATGGATGAGAACAAAAACGGAAGAACTGGAATGTTCTTTTTTCGCTTATTCAGCACTTTCCGCACGTTTTTCCGCATCCGACCGTTTTCTGGAAGTCCGATGTCTTCGGTGAGTTGCAGAAATGATCGCGTGAAGAACAACTGAAAGAGAAAAGCATTAGATGTAGTGGTTTTGAAAACCGAACAATGGGTACTGAAGCGCTTAATAGTGCTCGCCAACTGTGTATCCAAAAAGGAAAAATCATTGGATGACAGAAAAGGCTAGGATCTTTCAACGGAAATAACTTCTTCCCTTACTTCAGAGCTCCACCTATACAATTAATAACAGGTTAGCGGGTTCAAGACGAAGCCGCTTTTCCGACGACTGGTAATAATTTCTCCATTTAATAGTGTAGTGGAGAAGTCGAAAACTTCACATGCCTACAGAACAGATTTATCCTCGATCGCTTAACAGCACGTGTATTTCACAAATTATCTTTTTGGCTTTAAATGGGTTTCAGATTGAAGTCTTCAAGTACGTGAATCTTTTGACCCATGAAATTAATCCAAAGCAATAAGAATAATTGAAAAATAACGAAAGATTACGAAAATTTTAAGAAACTAATTTTTTACAGCTTTTGACGCAGGTGGGACAAGCGCAGAAACCATCATATCCCTACCGTTCCTTCAATTCCTTACATTTTCGAAACAGGAGCACTGGCACAAAAAAAGATCGAAAAAAATATGTTTCATAGGTTACTGAAAGTTGGGATTTTATTGTGGTGGAACAAAGGAATTAAAATTATCTACTAGGGCCGAATATTGTAATGGCTTCACTCCTCAATAAAAAAAGGATATGCAAAAGATGAAAACGTTAAAACGTTGTGATTTAGATCGGTGTAAGCTTGACAGAATTCAATGCCAATTTGTAGCCCCAGATGAGTTCCTTTGACTGGTGTTTGCTGATGGCGCCGTTAGAGTGAGAAACTGGCTGACTATAAGTCAAAGCAAAAGCCTTGTTGGTGCACTAGACAGCACGTGCACCCCGGAAAGGGGTAATCGCTGGTTCGAATCTCTTCTTAATCCCGAGCTTTGCTAGTTTCTCAGCAGTCTGTGGCTGTCTTTCACATTCATATGCATGGAAAAAGAGTAGGCAAAAGAAAAAATTTAAAGTCTAACGGGCTTTCTTCCAAATAATAAAGCTTAGTAGAATCAGAGATGTTGTCTTGACTTTGAAAATGCCTGTTATTTTCTCATTCTTTGATTCCACTTGAAGTCATCACGTCGTGAATCTGCTAAACACAGCGCACGTTGAACTTTAATTCCTATGGATGTATTTAGCTCTGGAATCTTAAAGAAATCGGCTTTAAATGAACAAGAACGAGTACTCACTCAGGAACAAGCTCTTGACACTGGCCATCGGAGGGCTTATAAGTGCAAAGAGAGCATAGGCGAGGACAGAACACTGCCATGATATCGATGAAATCAATATCACGGCACATTTTCATACGTTCATTGCAGTCATCCAGTAAGTCCGTGCAAGCGTACTCTAAAAAACATTACATGTAGTAGTAACGAAAAGCGGTATCCTAAGTAGGAGGAGAAGCAGTTTTCTAGGAGAATTTGCAATAATGCTTAAGGCATAGCAACTTTATAATTTAATAACTGACTAATTTGCCCAGCGTTTTAAACCCTCATCATGCCTGGGGGTGTTCGTGTTTGTCAAAGTAAAATGCACACACAGCTTGAGGTTTATCTCCTTCAGCAGCAGGGTTGCCAATCTGATAATAAGATGTACAGAGCCATCTGATAGCGCAGCTAAGAGCAAACCAATGGCACAAATCATCACCGTCTTGGTAGCAAACCAGCTGAAAAGAAACAAAGTTTTCTGCTAATCCACATGGCTGACGTCAGTCTGTGGTGACGACATGAGAGGCCTTCAACAAAGCTGTTTCGGTTCATCCCAGAACAGTGAATACCTTAACCAGCAATAAATCAGCATCAATCCCAAGTGTACTTATAGCTTTTACACACGACGTCAGGTGGTGAAACAACCGATAATAGGCGGTCAGTGGAACATCTGAGTTAAACAGGCGTCATCGCAAATGGATAAAAATATAAGCAGTGGAGTCCATCACATTTTGTACGTCTACAGCAGCAGTCCGCTCAAATGTAGCCTTCACACTATTTTTCAGGCCTCATACTGCTTCGATTTCCAAATGATCGTTCTAGACGAGACAAAAAGTAGGAAGACCGAAGTACGCCAATTACATAACGGGATTTTTGTCAGCCCGTGGAGGAAAAAACAACTGCACCACGAAAATAAAGCTTTCCCGTGGCATATTCTCCCAATTCTAGAAAAAAAATGTCAAACATGACAACACCTTCTTAGCAAAGCTCTTTTCTGGATTACTCTATTAATAACAAAGTCACTTAGAAATAGTAATAAATATAACACGACAGCGATTAAAGTATTCATGGAGAATTCCTTGCAATTCTTCACTGCTAGCGATATCAGCATCTTTTTGAGGAGCGCCAGTTAAGCCGAGGCGACGGTCAAAGAGCTAAACAAAGCCAGAAAAGTGGAGAAACAAGGCGGAAGTAGAATGAAAATCTACTTCAAAAAAACTCGTTGCTGCTTAGGTCAAGACATGAAAATCAACATGAAGGAGTGATTAAAGAATAGAGGTGAAGCAGAATTAGCCCTTCATAAAGCTCAAAGGGAGCTAACCGACTAATTAACCAGCAGAAAGTTCTGTAACGAAATGATTAGCGGCGAAGTGTAGCGGTTCAGATTGATGTAGAATATTAGCCACGCGGGTCTTTTAGTTGTTGTAGTTGGGTAATTACCCAAGTTTGAGGCTGGTAGATCAACTACAACAACTAAAAGACCCTCGTGGCTAATATTCTACATCAATCTGAACCGCTACACTTCGCCGCTAACCATTTCGTTACAAGTTCACCTCTTTACTGAATGATCTTCCTAGCTCTCCGCTATACTGCAGAAACTCGAGTTAAGACCTCAACTAGGTAAAAAGTAAAAAGATTAATTATTTCCTTAACTGACCACTTTTTACCCAGTAGTCCCAGCAGAGTCTCCCAAACTGAGGAGTCCAGCGTTTCCATCAGGAAGCCTAGCTAGGAGTAAACTAATACTAGGATCCACCACCGTCGTATGGTGGTAAATCTCCCTCTGATCCACAAAGGCTGCGACTGCCTGTCGTGGTGAGGACCTGGGGCAGACTGGCCAGGCTGTCCTCGGGACTCCAGGAATCCACAGTGGCTTAACCAGCAAATCTCCGAAAAATGGTGATTATGCTGGAGTCCGCACAACTAGTGATGACTGGCCGTTTAAGTAGCAAGTAAGTAAGTAAATATTGCCTACAGAAACTTGCTAAGCTCATCGTTGCCTTCTTGATACATCTACACTGACTTGCTGAACCATCTAGTGTAGGTATGAGGTCTATTTTTCTGAAGCTGTTCCGAATCACCACCAACAAATAAGCTCGTAATGTAGAATATTGCCCCTGACCTTGAAATAACATTCAGGACGCTATCCAGATTTGCATAAGCACATGTGTACTTGCGCGTACTCACATGCGTACGTAAATAAAGAGGTATATATCAGCTTGCACAATAGTTACAGGAAGTCTTCTCATTGAATTCACAAATGCCTCACAAAAGCGGGCGAGTACAAGGTTGCCTTTTATCCGCTCATATTCCTGTGGGCACAAACGTATGCTCACCGTTAGCAAGTTGGGAATCTCTCAATGAGATAAATTAGCATCTTGTAGCGATAGTGGGAGAGGAAAAAATTCAGCCATGAGCACACACGTATTGGGTCGAAGATCCAGATGGATTTAAAGGATATGGTTCCCATTTTCCTTGCGCCATATTAATAAATATACTCGCCATTGAGCGGTTTCATGTATACTTTGCTTGCTGATTTATTTAAACCTCTATGATCAAGTGACCTCGACAACATGCCAAGTGATTGCAGGCCACTTTCAAAAACTAAACCAACGTCTACATCAGCGGAGCCACAACACCTGAAATTAGATATACCCAACCCCGTACTATAGCATTACAAATATCATGTGAGTGACCAGTAACTAGAGCGGTAAAAATAAAAGGTTTAATGTGAAAAATGTTATACCGCTCGTGACCTATTCAACCGACCAGGCGCAACGGATGGAAGAATGAGAAGTTAATGGCACGCGTTCAAATCATTAAACGATTAATCGAATCACTAGTGATGCAGATTAACACATAACACGGCGTCACAAAAACTACAATAACGCAGTGTTCTGTAGTGGTGCCGTTGATGTCAAACTATTCAAAAATGTTCGATGCAAAAAGGATTTAACGAAATGGGTGCGACGTGAGAGGATACGACATTGATGAATTGTACTGCTAGATTTTTTAATGACAACAAACATTTTTTGAGCTTAAGAAAAAATCCGTTCGTGAACGAGAATGCCTTACCTGGTGGAAGCGTAGAGTTTGCGAAGCAGAAGTTACAAGTTCTGGCGCAGTTCGCACGAGCGAAGTCCACAAAATCCGCGTGGTCGCATTTCACCACGTCGCAGTGCTCCAGGTAGTCTTTGCACTCGTCAGCTGAAACTTATCTCTGGGTCGAACTAAACTGAAATGAAACAATGTGTCGTTGGATGCAAAATCAAAATTAAAATTATGTGTCACACTGTCACCTTTGAGATGGTCTGAATAGAAATTTTTTGGAAGAAATGTTGAAAAATTTTAAACATCTGTCAATGCTTTTGGGATAAATTTCCTCATTAAGATATTTAGTGGATTAATTACGTCACAAGCAACATAGTTATAATAACCACGCATTCGTTACCATTAGGAGTCGTGCACAATTAGGTGACAAGCAATGGATTATTAGTTCGGTCCCAGTTCAACGCTCACCAACCCTTCCATCCCTCTGGGGTTTGTAAATTGGTACTAAACTTGTTTAGGAAGGCATCAACACTGACTCGATCCATTGGCCACCGCAAGTCATTTATAGGCAGGATATGCATTCAATAACCTCTAGCGATGCTTGAAGAAGTCGAATATATGATGCACCCTACAGGAATTGATCAAAGCCTAATAATTTATACGAATTCATCCAGAAAAACTACTGCTGCCTAAGAAACTATGAGCACAAATTCCTTACTTGAGTCGCTGTTTTGTTTTTCCCTTACGCTTTAATTTTGAAGATCGATTAAAGTGAAAGCCGGTAAAACTTAGTTGGTGATTCGAGAGGTTTTCACACTCGTATGAGCGTCGATCGCCACATTATTTACCAGCTTTTCTAGTACCGTGTGGTCCTTCCTAAATGTTTTTTCTTTATCACGATCTGATAACATGTTGTGCGGATCCTAGTACTTCTGATCCTAGTACTTCCTAGTACTCGTTCCCTCGAATCCACCGTCTACGAAGTTTTTCAGATTTTGTGTGCGAGTTCAGCAAATGCGCAAGAATTTGATATTTCTTGTGGATGTCACTGATTGCTGGTAGATCCGATTTTCCCTGGTGTTCTAGGATAACTGTGCCACAGTGTGTCGAGATCATCATAGGCAGTCGCTGCGTGTTTTCTTATTGAAGGAGGTGAGCTGATCCAAAACGACTCTCGTGTTCATTTCCTTAGATGCCTGGAGATTTGACAAGGCCGGTGAGGGGTCAAGGTAGTGTTTCGCTCCTACTGATCGGTATTGCGGTTACTGTGGTACGCAGCCTCTGGTTTCCATCCAAGACTCTTTTTTCGAATGAAAACTACGATTCTATGTATTTTTGTTGAGCAAACACCTCGCGTTTTTTCAACAAAAATACGAAGAATTACTTGATCAATGCCGAGGTTAATAGAAAGTCGGTCGTGGGAGTTACGATTCTGTGATTCTTTGTAATGGATGAATAGAGAACTCACGTGGCAGAACGACTGCACTGTTTTCGCAGCACTCGTCATTTTGTAGACAGGTGTATCCTGTCGGACACTGCCCGGCGAAGCACTCTTAATGACCATGATGGCAATGTACGGGAAATCTCTGCTCAGTACTTCTCATCATTCATCTTATTTCTTTTTCCTCGCTCTCTTCTTTCACTGCTCTCTTTTTTCCTTCTATTCACCATGCTCACTGTAAGGACATACTAACTGCTTCTAGTTGCCGTTCGACATGTTACGTTTGCATGTTCGGATCCGCGTATTATAGCAATCAATGAAACAAATAGAGCGTAATAAAGCATCTGAAGATACATGATTAGCAATATTGAATTTTGTCGTTAAATAGTAAAAATCAAATGAAGCTATCAATTTAAACCTTAACCCTTTTATTTACTGCGTTTTTTCTTTTTAATGGCAGGGTATGTTGCGAAACATAACTCGTATATAATGCTGAGATATTTGCAAAACTCCGGACCGCAGGTGTATGCGGTGGGGAACGATAGAACTAACTGAGAGACAGGCAAAACGAAAGACCCGGATGGTGTGGTGGTGAAGTGCGCTGCTCCCCGGTAAGGACAATAGAGCGCGTTCGCTCCCCACCGCATACACCTGCAGTCCGGAGTTTTGCAAATATCTCAGCATTATATACGAGCTATCAATCTATTTTTCTGAAGAAAGCATTAAACTGAATGCATGAGAACATCGCTAAGTTTTGACTCAACATGCAGCAGTCACAGCTACTATTAAAGTATAAAGGAGAAAGCCCTTGGCTTTGATTAATCCCTGAGGGATGCGACATATATTCGACTTCACCAAGAACCGTTGGAAGTGATTGAATGCATATCTGGCCTTTATAATGGACCGAGGTTCCTACCGATGTATCTAGCTAGTGCTACTATCCTCCAGACAAGTCTGACACCAATTTGCCGCCTCCGGAAGGATGAAAGGCTTGGTGGGCCATGGGTGCGAGAATCGATTCCACGTGTGTTTAGCAGGGCGCCTCCAACCACTGCGCCACACGAGCCTTGCCTAACAGCTACTATTAGTAAAGAAAAACTATTAATCGTCCAACATTGGTAATTCCCTTACGGATGAGCCATGAATTAACACTACTTCCTTAAGAATCGTAGAGGAGAATGATGCATGTTAAGCCTGTATAATGATTTTCAGTTGTTTGCTGAATTAAGAATCGAACCGACAGTCTTCTGTGCATTGTTAGAGCTCCTAACCACTGTTTTCTACTTCGCCAAGTTATCATTGCAAAGTGAAATTCTTCAGCTTTGACCAATATCGTGAAAAAGTATAGTTCAATCAGCATTCTAATTGTCTACCCATCTATATTTGGATTCTTGGGTACTTGGAAGGCCCGTCCTCATCGCCATCATTGGTTGTGCAGGCGCCAGTACATGCTCTATTTTTCCGAGTTTTGATTGTTTAGCTATTGTTTGTCTAGAGTCCCGAGGTCAACTTGGTCGGTCTGCCAGTTGTCGTCACCAACACAAGCAGTCGCGGCCCTTGCAGATCAGAGGGAGATTTGCCAACATGCGACTAGTTAGCTACCCTTACCTGGACTTTCTAATAGAAACTCTGGACTCCTTCTCAGCTTGGGAGATCCTGCCGGAAAACGAATCCTTCCACTGTGCATCCCAACCCGACACCCAAGAACACATCCCAACCACGATGAGACGGTAAACCGTTGGGAGGACGCAATGGTACTTTAAAGAAGTATGTGGTTCCCATACGTTGTAAATAAAACATGAGACCATCCATGAAGAAACCTTTATCTTTTCCCATTGCGTATCGTGAGGTGGTTACGAACTTATTCTGATGTGGACATTGGGGAAATATCAAAGCGCTAAATAGAGGAAAGGCTGTCTTCTCACATGAACTTTCGGATGATATGAATTCATCTGCTACCGTAGCTCGTCCACTACAGTAAATCGACCGCATAATATTTAAATATTTAACAATGCGTTTGCGCGCTGAAATTCGGGTTCTGCGGGAGTTACGGGCGATTGAACGTTGTTCCGCTCCTGGTCGTCTCGTCGGGTACCGCGGTGCGATCACTGTCGCGCGTCAGAAATTGGCTGTTGCGGTTTTTCTTGCTTAAACGGGGTTTTTGAGCGATTTCGCTGCGCGGGCACCCCTTCCCCTCACCTTCCTTCCACCACACGGGGTTCACTGCTTCTCATCACGTTACCAAAAGTCTTTGATAACGTGATGGGAAGCACATATCAAAGTATAATTGTCGACGCAAGTATACAAAGGGAAGTTAACTAACTGATGAGCCCTTTAAAAATGATAGTAGAAGACACGGACTAAAAATACACATTACGAGACAAGGATAATATGAAACATGTAAATACAATGTGAGCATGAAATATAAGGATGTAGAAAGACAAACTATAGTGAGATATCAAATTGAACCAAGAAATCTACATACGCCTCTAAAGGTTCAGTGGGTTAAACGTGGACCAAAATCGGTCTTTTCTATAAAATTGTGGATATATAGATCCGGGAAATTAGCTTTTGCATCTGGCAAATCTGAAAGACTTGTCATGTCGTTGTACTTCGCATATATGGATTGCGCTAAAAATTCGACCAAAAGTCTTTGATAACATGATGGGAAGCACTCAGCAGTTTGTGATCATCTCCAACAACTAAACTCCACATCTAATCTGAATTGCTCGACAAAACTGTAGTGAGCACGCCAGCTTCAGTGCAAAGCTACTTTCCGTAAAAGGAGTATAGACGGATTTTCCGTTGTACTGATAGGCTTACACAAGGTTGTTATAAAAACGCCCAAATATGTTGGTTTGCTATGTGACGGCTAACATGCATTTGACTACTGTAGGATAGACTGTCTTCATGAAGTCAAATATTCATCAATGGGCCAATTAGTCAAGTACAGGACTGAATGAAAGTGCGCAGCCGATTGAGGTCACTCATTCACACTGCGTTGAACTCCTCTAGACTCGACGATTTCGTACGACTACGAAGACCCAGCTCTTAAGATAGTTGCGCGGGGAATAGTCGGCACGAATCACTAGCCTTCTGAGGAAGACGAAAGTGCCCAAACGTTAATCGCAAAAAAATTTTTCTTTAATATTTTCATGAAAGCTCGTCAAGTGAACGAAGGATTTACTATCGTTGCTAAGGTGAGAAGAAAGTTAGTCTTTGAAAACAACAACAATAAAGTGTCTCATATGGATGGTATGACGCCAGTCATTTTCTTTGAGGAACAGGAGCATTGAGCAGCTCCAGCGGGATCACTTCATTATGAAATTTTTATTCAAGCCACTAAGCGGAATGAACACATACCAAATGATGATACAGCCCAAACGATAGATTTGGGCTGATCTTGGTTTGATGTAAAAGTGGAAACAGCTGCAATCGTTATCGAAATGACTGAACAAACTTATTTACAATGATGACGAAGCGAATATGGCATGTGGAACCACTAGCCTTGAAAACTTAGCGGCCAGATTGAGACCCGAAGTCATTGGCCGAAATCTCGTTGCCATTATTCTTGAGAGGGCCATAATGGAATAAGTAGCTTAATAGGTTACAAAATACGTATTCTCCTGTTGACCTATTGTTCAACAAATTAAAACCGGATTCAATTCATTTAAATTGTTAGATATTGCAGCAAATCAATGGTCTATGTCAAGGATTTGCCACCCGTCTTCGTTTACTACATTCGTCGTTCCTAGACGGTTCCGCAAAAAAAATATCATCGAGTTTGGCTTTCTAGCAACAATAATTTTTTATCAATAGCTACGAGGACACAGGTCGTCTCCTGAGCATACTTGTGTTATGCTTTCCTTTTCAGTCAATGAAGTCTTGCTTGATCACGTGCTACCCTGCAACTTGTGCAGCTGTTATCTGAGATCTCTGAGCAAATGACAAATAAAGCTTAAATTAAATAAATCGGTAGTGAATGAAATAGCACACGATGAGTATGACGTGTCCTTGAGTGCCAGATTCGAAAAATCTTGTAACCGTTCCCTCGGAAGAAACGTTAGCGTTAGCCATTTATGCAGAACCAACCGAGGATTGGCACAATCGGAATTGAAGATTTCGTGCAATGCCAGGGCTAAACAGCGATGCAACAACTTCTAGCAACTGACTACCAACATACTTTGAACAGTTGCACACGACATCGCTAGCAGGAATGAATCTGTGAACGTGAGCCCGTTTCTGCAAGAAGTAGGAAAAAATAGCACTGTTTATCTACTATATATTTAGTAATCGCCACCACACACTGTTTCATGGCCCCGTCTTATCGCCCGAATATAGTCTAGCCAGTGAGAAAATTGTATTGTCTAGTTTTTGAAGGCTGAGCTAACAACAAAGACATCTGCTTGAAATGCCCACACCGTTTTTGACCTTGAAGGGTGGCTAGAACAAGACAAATACAGTTTAACCAATCATGTTAGGTTGTGAGTCCGTTCTGTGCTTATAGAAACGCAGTAAGTGGGTCAGTGCTCGATGCACTTACAGCTTTTCTACTGACTGGTTGTGGTTGAGATCAGGAAAGTGATCACTGCAACATCACCATCTTGTCGACATCATTTCATTGTCTCAAAGCGAATAATTGCTTACGGTCTTCGGATTCCCTCACAGCACTGTTGGAAAACAAAGCACAAACAGGCAAAAGCTTTTTTTCATGAGGCCAGTCATCACCTCTGCCAGGTATGATTGATATTTTAACTTTGATCTACGGATGGCCAAAGAAGCTTTAGAAGGTAAAAGCAGAAAAAATTCTAATCAGCCCTTTAAGTATCTAGTATTGTCCGAAGCACAGCACCAAATTCCTGAACACGCGGATCCCAGTTGACATTGAAGTTTTCTTACGTCAACAACTAATATGTTCATAGAAGGGTGGTTAACATAGCTTCAGCAATTCTGTTTTTTTTCTGACATGTTTACCTGACAAGGTGCGGAAAAAAACAAGGTCTGCGTAGTTTGCTCCAAACTTCATCTTCCAGAACGTCTCAAAAAAACACATTATGAGGATCAACACCATAACCGTAAGCAGTTGGACGCCATCATCCGAGTGGAGCACTCCTTTTCATCTGTCAGGTAACTGTTCCAAAAGTTGTTGATTTGAGGACTAAAAGTTTTAAAAAATTCGTAATTTTTTATCCTTTGTTTGCTATTTTCTGAAAATATTACTTAACACCTTTTGAGTTAGTTGCCGTGTCCCAATTTTTTAAAGATGTGAGCTCATAATTTTGAATTGAATTGATAAGCAAATATAACTACCGTCCTGGTATCAAAGTAATCCCATGGTGGCAAATCTCCCTCTGGTCCACAAGTGCTGCGACTCCTGTGGTTGTGACGAGTCGGGGCAGACTTCGGCCACGCTGACCTCGGGATTCCAAAGCACCACAATGGTTCAGCTGGCAACTCTCCAAAAAATGAATAAATGAAGAGTGGAAATTGTGCTGGAGTCCGCACAACAAGTGAAGACGGGCCGTCCAAGTATCCAAGTAATAAATATGAGCTCTCTACCAATTGAGAATACATTTCAAAGCATAACAAACAGGTTAGCATTGAGTTTAGTCGTCTTAAGAAACATTTTTGCTCCACTGTTTCAATAATGATCAAACAATGTGCCCTCCTGTGGTGATGGCACAAGTTTTTAATAAATGATTGCACTTATGTAGGAATTACAAAATATGTGGGAGGACTGTCGATTACAAATAGGAATTGCAACATATATGGTAAGATTGTTAATTGTATTTACCTATACTTTGCGAAGGGGCTCTTGTGGAACAGTGCAGTCTTGGCATCGCGCAGTCTCAATTGGTAGAGAGCTCATATTTGTTACTTGGATATTTCGACGGGCCGTCTTCACCTGTTGTGCGAACACATGGGATAGATTCCCACGCCACAGACTCACCAAGCCCTCCTTCCCTCCGGGGTCGGCAAAATGGTACCAGAGGGATGGCCTGGGAGGATAGTCGTCTGCGAAGACAGCAGAACTGGCTCGATACATCGATAGGCCACCACGAGTCATTGTAAAGGTCAGATATACGTTCAACCACCTCTAACGATGCTTATTGGAGCCTAATGCATGGTGCATACCTCAGCATTGATTGAGCTTCATCATTCTATGCATTAAGAATTGCAGCTTATTAAACAGATTTGCTTCAGCCGCAGCATAAGACATCATCAGAATATTGTGGCAATACTTGGATGACTTGGAGTGCAGTTTTCACGAGTAAAGAGGGCTCCAGCACACACCTTCCATGAAATTTTCGCGAATTCGTCGTCTACAGTGGCGGTCTGTTTCGAATATAGTGACATCTGCGCACCATACCCATCAACCATTAAGCATTTCCATCTGCGAATGTAAGTGTTTGACGTCAATCATAAACACAGTAGTTCATCGCCATGGCGGTCTTCCGAGAGGACGCTTGAATTTTCTTTGTGGTCCAATCGACATTTCTCTTCATTTCTCTCATCTGCTGTTCCTACTCCGCGACAAGCTGATCTGTGTTTACCAAAAGATATGTAGCGTTCTGGATCTCGAAGATGGGCAAGGTTTGGCAAATCCCACCTACGCACTCCAGCTAGACACTATGCATGAAAGTTAGGTTTTAGAGCAGTCTTTAGAATGCTTAATGGGTGGTGGGCAGTTTTTTCCGAGGCTGAAGTATCAATCGAACTGAAAAGGTGAAAATGAAGTTTCGGGTCGCTTAACTGGTTGATGACTTCTCTGACAGACCGAAGGCATTTGCAATTGCGTGCTTTGTACTATTTACAGAAAATTCGATCATCGATGTACACGTTTCCCCACACGTCCTATGCTTAGAATATGAATGATAACATGCTCTCCATCTTTTTCCTTTTCCGGTTTTCTCTACAAAAGCGTTGCTGAATGCATTATATCTTTGTATATAACTCTCTCGAGATTTTAATTGCTAATGATCTCACAACTG